AAATTGTTTCTTTGTTACTCATGTTGTGGCCCCACCCCATAACAGAGAAACGGAACGGAATTTCCGGAGGGTGAGGCCCAGAAATCAGGATTTTAAAAAGATTCCCAGATGATTCTAATGTGCAGCCGAGGTTGAGAACCACGGTCTTACTTGGTTACTTAAGATTGATAAAGACTTTTGTCTCTCCCTAAATGCCTTTAATTTTTATTTATTTATTTAGTTAGTTGATTCCTTCAGGGCTTAATTTGGCTGCCAAGCGTCCTTTTAAATCATTAATGTATGTCTGTCCTGGGTTAAAATTGCATTTAAATAACAAGGTAGACTTTAAAAACTGTAAGAATTTGATATTGGGCATTCATTTTTATCTAAACAGAACCCGAAAATGATGAGGACTTCAACAGGAAACAGTTTGCTGCATGAAATTCCACCGAGGAGCGAACATCATTAAAGTGGAGAGACATTTCGTAATTCCACCGCAAATGGTCCTTAATCCTTGGTGTTTAATTTAGCTTTGCCAGAGAGGTCGGATCCTAATGTTTTAATAGCTTCTACATGTTCAGTTAGTACTTGGCCTTATCAAAACACATTATTAATTCCTCATCGGCTTCACTGAATCCTTGTTCTGTTGGTTAATGTTTCCCCTGTCATTTTTTATTAGAGGAAGCTCAAGGATAAAGTGAAGGACTTGGCCATAATTTCACTACCACAGGAGAAAAAAATCAGAGCTCATGAATGATCCACTTATGGGGAGAACATTTTCTTGAGCCTCGATTATTTTGCTGGAGGAAATAAATGATTTTTTAAAGCTGCAGTCTCTCTTTTTTTTTAAGCCAAAAGGGTTAATCTGTAATAGCCTCAACATAACCATGAATAATTCATGCAGTCAATACAATTGTAGTACCCAGGGCCTACCTGCAACCTGGCTTTAAAAAGCCATTGTCCCTGTCTGCAAAGAATTACAGTATTTTGGTTTTGTAGCTGCCTATGGGATTTTTGAAGGATCGGTGTTATCTGAGACTCCCCAGGCGACCCCAGACTGTGGACATGAATGGTAGTCATCGCTCTAATGGGAAACACTGTCATGTCACTGGTCCTGCTCCAGCTGGTGACATAGGAGCCTCAGTCTTTTGTAAACTCCCCTACCAACCCCTGCTGGGGAGCCCGGAGGCGTCTCGTGCGTGTTGGCAAACACGTGCATTCCTCCTGGGCGCTGCCAGTCCGCCCCTTTGGAGCCGCTGTGGTGCCTCGTGGTCCTGCCGGTGTGGCCTGCGCACCTGGGAGCTGCAGGGCTGTTTGTGGCCAAATTCCAAGAAAGCCTTCCCCCTTGGGCTTCCCTCTCTGAGGTTCAGGGTGTTTCACTTCTGGCAATCTGTCAGACAGGACATCCTGAAAGACTCCCACAAACGCCCAGAGGACTCGCTAACATGTAAAAACAAAACCACAACCTTAAAAATGAACCGATGAGCCCAGCTGGTGGACGCTCAGTGGTTTTGAGTGTCGACCTATGAATCAGGAGGTCACGGTTCAATTCCTGGTCAGAGCACAGTCCAGGTTGCGGGCTCAATCCCCAGTGGGGGGGCGTGCAGGAGGCAGCCAATCTACGATCTC